GCAGGATCTGGACTCAGTCGTTTTCTCCCACTGGCGTTCTCCTGCAACCTGTGCATAGGAGATATGCAGCTGAGAGCTGGTAGGAGCTGTTGGCAGTCTCCTCCTCCTAAGAGTGCGTCTCATTCCCTTGGGCATGACATTCCTTGAGCATGACATTCCATACGTTAATTATGGGTGAAATGAGACAGTTTCCAAGGCCGACGCCTGACCGTCCCGGAAAGGGTTGCTCACTGGCGTTCTCCTGCAACCTGTGCATAGGAGATATGCAGCTGAGAGCTGGTAGGAGCTGTTGGCAGTCTCCTCCTCCTAAGAGTGCGTCTCATTCCCTTGGGCATGACATTCCTTGAGCATGACATTCCATACGTTAATTATGGGTGAAATGAGACAGTTTCCAAGGCCGACGCCTGACCGTCCCGGAAAGGGTTGCTCTCACGGGAGCAGTACGTTAATTGTGGGTGAAATGAGATAGTTTCCAAGGCCAACGCCTGACCGTCCCGGAAAGGGTTGCTCTCACGGGAGCGATTAAAAGATGCATTTGGAGGGCGATTCCCTATTGCCTGCGACTCCTCTTTCATTCAGAAATGTGGCCCGGCCCGTACTCATGTGCAGTTCATTCATGCCTCCCTGATCCTTTTGCACTCAGATGACTACGATGAAGCCTTCGCGAAGCTGAGCCGCCTCATTGAAGAGTTCCTGGGCCTCCTCCAGCCTTCTGACTCCGAAGCCCCACCTCCTGGGCCAGCGGGCAACCTCCTCTCAGGTATCAGGCATGCTTTTGCAGATCTGCCCTCGTGGTTCCCTTGCAGGGAGGGGAGCAGCCGGTCACAAGCAGCCGTCCCATGTCTCCTTCCAGTTGTCACACTCCTCACTGGAAAAGAGAGGGTTCTGGCTCCGACAGAGACATGCAAGTGATCTGGCTTTGGAGGATGATAACAACAACAATACATGTAATGATCTTGGAACCGCAAAGCTGGAATGGATCTGACGGATCTTCTTGTCCAGCCACTGCATTGGGAGCCTGTCGGAGAGATTGGAAAAGACAATCTGTCGTGCTTTTTTACCCTAAGCACATCTGTCTGGGAAACTGAAAAGCAGAGATTCCCCAGAAGCTTGTGCTGTATTAAAGAGAACCCCAAGCAAAGGGCCAGTCGTTGCCGCGCAGCACCGGCCATCAGTGGCACCAGTGGCAGCATGCTCTAAGGGAGACAGCTTCAGCTACACGTTACCCACTGTCTGGAATTTCTTGCCATACTTTGGCCACAGTACGCCTCTACGATGCTAGACGCCATTCTAAATAGTGACCAGATTCCCAACCACTGCAGTTGCCACCAGAGAGGAACTGCCAACGTACTAGGAGTGAGAAAGTCCTCTGCAGGAAGAAACAGATACGGAACTGTGGACTAGAGAAGGGTGTGTGTGTCTCGGTTCTTAGGCACCAGATCAGTAGGTGGGACCTAAGGAGTAGAGGATCTTTTCTGTACATCATGGGCACCAATGAAAAGGCATAGTCGACAGGGAGGATTAACCCTCCGTGACTCACTAGGTTGTGATTTTGACCGTAATTCCTCTTCTGCATTATGGGGTACAGTAGGAACAAGGGGCTGGGGGGGGCTGCCTTGTTCCTACTGTAGGAACAAAGAGAAGCCTTGGGAAAGGAGAAGCCAGGGGAAAAGGCCCTGTGGGGCTAGGGGCAGCTCCATCTATAGAAATTCAGATATGCCTGAATTTCTGGCTTGTCCCAACAACGATAATGTGGTGCATGTTTTAATCTTTAAGTGGATGGTCTGAGAGAGTCGGGTGAAATGGTTAGGAGTTTGTAGAAGACGAAGCATAACGAGGAGGGATGGGCTGGTTGAGAGTTCATGGACGCCGTAGAGAGCAAATAAGAAAGCGATGGAACAGCCAACAGCCGGCTGTGAGCAGCCAAGGTGTATGTGGGGGGGGGGGGTCAGGGGCCAAGCCCCAAGACAAAGGAGGTCAGGGCAGGTCAGGGCAGGAGAGATGCAAGGCGTCTAAGGGATGGATGTGCCGCTTTGGTCCTCCCTTGATGGTGTTCCATTGTTGCCAAAAAGATGCCAGTAAAAGACTGCCTCTCTAGACAGTAAGAGACACTCAGCAGAGAGTCTCTTTCAACGTAGCCCTGTGGGCATGTGAGTCAAAAGTTCACAACCATCTAAACAAGAATGTCATCTTCTTCTTTGTCTTGATTGAGAAAGGCCAAGGAGTAGGAAAGAGCCTTTGCTTCCTCGTTGTCTTGTTCTTCCATTAAACCATCCCTTGAAGGGGCTCTTAATGGCCGATAATGTCTTACTGAGTCCCATCAATGTGTCGGTCGCAGGAACTTCATTAACGGCACCGAGTTTGGGCAATTCTGCTGTCCATAAAAGCAACTTTAAAATTGACTGTACTTCATTAAAAATCATTTAGAGGCTCCATTGTAGGTGTTTCAAATAAATGTAATGATTCCATTTTGGGAGAGAGAGCGGTCTCTTTTCTGATGGAGGAGGCAAAATTATTTATTTTTTAAAAAACACTTGCCTTTAGAGTTGTCTGCTAATATGAACGTTTGCAATAAGATCGTTAATAGGAAGACATTGGGCATTTGATATTAGAGGAGGCTGTTGCAATCTTTCTGATTCTCTCCCTCCCTTCCTTTCGTCTTTTTAACGAACAGCCCCAAGAGCTGTTAATGGACAGAGCAGAGCCATGGAGAGAAGTGGAAACGGGGAGCAAGAGAGAGATGAAAGCTGTATAATTGTTGCCTCCAGTCTCTGGTCATCTCTTAGCCAAGTCATTTTGGTTCAGGAAACGAAGGTGGGTGGGGGTGGGGGAATCTAAATGGTGTTTAGGAAAGTCATTCTTCAGCATCAGCCTCCTAGAAATGAGCAGGCAGCATGTCTTTTCATTTTAATAGGGTTGCCACCGAAGAATGTAATGATGATTGCCTGGCTATCTAAAGGACAGCCCCTCTTTTTGTGAACCTGCCCCAGTCCTAAGATCTTCACAAGAGGCCTTTTAGGAAGGACCATGAAGCTACAGTAATTGCTGACATTAATGGTTGCAGTGCTGTGACTTGCTTTTTTTACTCACGCTTTTAAAGGTTTTATGGCTTAATCTGTTTGTAGTAATGTTCCTACATGCCTTGAGCACTTTTTTTTTGAAATGAGGAGGTGGATGGGGAGAGGCTAAATAAAGAAATATGCATACATGGAGGGTGAGAGCAAGAGGGTTGAACGGTGAGAGACCACAGTGCTAATGGAGGACCGAGATGGACTCGGAGGTCAAGATCTAAAGTTAAAAATGGAGGCTAAGTCTTTGATCCTAAGACCACTACCACCCGGGAGTAAGCCCCATGTAACTCAGTGGGAGTTGCTTCTGAAAAAACATGCCGAGGATTGCACTGCACTGTATAGGCAGTCCCCGAAGATGTTTATGCATAGATTCTTTTTTGTTTCTTTGTTTATTTAAGGATCTATGGATTTTCTGTGTTTGCTGGAGCTATTTGTGAGCCAGAACAAGCAAAAATCTGGCAAGTTAACTCCTCACTTAAAGACAGTGCTGAAGGTGGAGCAAGATTTTATATAGACAGTGCTGGAAAGTGTTGAGGAATGCATACAGGTGTGCTGTTTGTGAGAAGATCTTGGAAGAAATAGCAAGTTCCTGTGGGCTGTTCCCTTGTTCATAACAGCAAAACGAATGAGGAGGAGGTAGCATCAGAACTGGTAGCAGGCCAGAAAGAAGGAGCTAAGCCAGCCCTGAACCTTCCCCAAATAAAATGTTAGAAATGAGAGGAAATGATTTACTCCTCATTGAGAACTTGAAACCTGAAGAGAAATGAATGATGGAGTCAGAAGGGGCCTGTGAGGCCATCGAGTCCTACCTCTTGCTCAAGGCAGGAATCCAAATCAAAGCAGATCTGACAGAGGGTTGTCCAATGTCCTCTTGAATACCTCCAGCACTGGAGCTAGGTCATGGGTTCCATTATCATACTGCTCGAACAGTTGAGACGTTTTTTCCTGATATTCAGCCGAAATCTGGCTTCCTATAACTTGAGCCCATTATTATATGCCCTGCGCTCTGGGATAATCAAGAACAAGTCTTGCTCATCCTTTTTTGAAAAGTGAGATTAGATTTGTCTGTCAGGCTTTGTTCGTCACAAATCCATGCTGTCATCAA